ACAAGTACTTTACTTACAACATGCAGATCCACAGACTGCTGGGTGCCAGGGTTTTAGGATTTTGAGAGTTTCATGATACAAATGAAGGAAAACAGTGTATTATTTGAATGACAGACACAAAAACTGGCAGATGTGTTACAGTATTTTAAGTAACAAAAATCTTGAGTTTCTTCCCCCCACACCATTTTAATGGTTAGATAGATTTCCAGTTTGTGAAACTCACTTACCCCTTATCTCTACACCCCCATACAGCATCATCAATCACTGCAGAGATAAAACACAGTGAAAGGTATTTCTAAATCTCCTATCTAAAGTGAGTGCAGGATAATACTATGCTGTAAAATACCTCTGTGATTAGCCAAGATTTCAGGTAACGTTTTTTACGGGGTGAGCTGCTTGAACACAAGTGTATTGGGGAAACTAACACTTCACTTCTTACATGCACTAATTCCAACCACAGAAAATACAGAGGTAATAAACCAGATTGTGATGGAAATAACCAAACAGAAGCCAATTACAGCAAAGTAACTCAGAAATAATGTAAGTGTCATAAAGCATGCAGGTTAAAAAAAAACAAAACAACAAAACCTATTACAATACTGAAAGAACTTTGCCTTTTGATTACTCCAATAACCTTGGCTGAGTTATGGAATTACTACACCTATTATTAAGGCATGTTACCCAGATTTCTTCTCTCAGCCAGTAAGAGAGATTCACAAGAAAGTTAAATTCAGGTGTGTTAAGACAAGTGTATTTAACATACTTACTGTCTTAAACAGTTCACTAACAACTGAGTATAACCTCTCATACACACATTCCTTGAATGATAACTGCATCAAACAAGACCTCGAAGATACATAGACCTCACAAAACCTAGTTACCAGGCTGTGAACAACTGTGAGAGGCAACTCAAGGAGGAAGATGGGAACAGGGAGGAGGCAACTTGGGTTGGTTGTTACTCAGTTAAGTTAGCATTCCCATAATCTGTATTAGTTTCCTGATCACTTGTATTCTACACACACACACACACCCCGGCTCAACCTGTAGGGTCCAGTTATTCATAAAAATTCTATACAAACAATAATTAAAAAAAAACAAAACAGGTAAGTGCATGCAGAACTTAAACTGGAAATAATTGCTTCTAGGATCTGCACAACAGCTTGAGCCAATCGTGAATGAAGGGCGGAAATCTGCACTGCTCTATCAGAGAGTTGTTGCAAAAACCAGGTATCATGAGGAGTGGTCAAGATAACTGGAACAAGGAAGAGCCAAACAAGCTACTCAGTAATACTAACACAGGGACCTTCTGGCAGAGCTGAAACACACAATGAAGTAGTAAGATTTTTGTTTAGTTGTTTTTAATCACCTGAAGAGCCCAGAATTGAAAGCCTAAAGCCTTTCCGTACCCTCGAAATGCATTTGTAAGTAAATGACAGATATGAGTAAAATTTTAAAAGTATTTCCCCCATCGGTTTTGCTCTGCAGAAATTAAAAGACCAATAACTAAGAAAGTTATAATTGTGTTTTATTTATTCACAAGATGAAAAAAGCCTTACTACATAAAAACTTCATACAATACAAATATGCAGGATATATAGTTTCATTAACATTAAATATGTACACACTCGTTCAATTAGCATGCCTAGAAATAATTACCCAATATAAAAATAAAGCAACCCTAATGCCTTTCCACTGTTATGGATAAGCCAGCCACCAAAGCAAGTAGAGGTATGTGACACCATACAAGTGTCTTACAAACAATAGTTTTCAGATGCTTCACTTTCCTACCATGTGCACATCAAGCAATACATCTTTTATTTCTGCAATCTTGATATTCAAAGGCAAGATATATTTCTTCACTGTAATTTAATGAAACTTACTTGGAAAGAATTTTGATTTTTTTTTTTTTTTAAGACGAAGTCCATCAGTGTTACAATATATTTAAATAATACAACAATAACCTTGAGAGGATGCAGTGTATTAAACTGCTCTGAACAAAAATTCATAGTACCCAGTGGTAACATCACACAAAAAGCAGCACATGAGTTAACCTTGGGGATTAACAACCTTGAATGTCCGTATACGAGAGAAAACAATGTAGTACAAAAGAAAAAAGAATATAAGTATACTTTCATTAAATCATTTTGGCTTATTAAAAAAACAGTTGGAAAAGCACTGCTATCCAGAAGAAAAACCCACACAGTATTTTTTAAAGAAATACACACCTAAGTTCCTTTCAACTATCCACAAACTATCACTGGTTCTGCGATATACAGTCTGAGTTGGCACAATATGTCATTTTTTTCTTAAATCCTTTTAGGGCTGACCAACTTTCCTATAAGATAGAAGTATATTTTGTTCTGAAAACTAAAGCATTCAGTATTTCAATCTCTCAGAATATACACTGAGCAAATTTCACTAGGCAGCAAACAAGAAGATGGGAAATACAATACTGAGCAGCTTGTCCTTCAAATGCTATTTAGTCCTTACTGTTACTACAGATGGTAGCAGCAATAATGCCTATATTTTGGTCACTCTCCCCAACAAAAAGATTCCTAGTGTCTTCTCGGGCTGTATCATCTCTATTGCTTTCCGCATGCCTTTAATTTTTGGCAAAGGGATACACTTGAATTCCACAAATATTATTTGCTCATGCCACAGAATTTTGCTCCTTTTTGCATAAACCTTAATATAAATAAATAATTAAACAACAGTCTCTTCCCTAGTAGTCAAGGGATGCAAATACCTTTCCTTACTGCAGGCTCATTTATTATTGCTTGATCTGGGCAGACAGTCTGAAGCAATGGACATGCTAGATCTGGTGCCTTGCTTTCACTGCCATCCTAGCAATATTCTCAGCATGGGAGGATCCCAGAGATCAAAACTCAGATGCTGCCAGAGGACTAAAAAGTTTGGGAAGGGCGTCAGTGGCTGTCACTGGGACAGCACCCCCTCGAGGTCAACACAGTGGGAAGGAGCATTTTACTTTGGAACATGTAGGTAAGATTCTTGCTACTCCTGTGAAGAAGATGAGCACCCCAGGACCAAGATGTACACACAAACACATGAACTAAGAGAGCATAATTTTCACATCCATGTTAACGATTTTGGCAGTAGCTATTGTGCTTGCTACAAAATCGTTAACTTAGGTCCCAGAAAGAAAGGTCACATTCCCTGCTGCCACAGATCCAAATCCCATCCACACACATCCATAAAACACACCATACACACTTTAACACCACATTGTACATCATCTTCTTGCAACAACTTTAAATAAAATAACAGATTTGGCTGAGACCACGCTTGAGTGTTTGTGTTCAGATGCCGGTGCTTGACTACAAGTGGTTACATCTGTCTGTGCCTGTCCATGCTCTACAACAGACAAACTGTTTGGTATCATCTTTATACCACGTTGCCTTTTCTGTGGATTCCCAATTGTGGATTCCAAATCTCATACCGGGTGGAAAATAGATGACGTCCTGGTCTATATAACAAGTGAAGCTTTTTTGCAACATTTGCTTCTGAAGTTAGAACATATAACAGAAAAAAAAGCCCCAAGAATAAAAAGGTCTTGGAAGAGTGCAATTGCATATTGGTCAGATTTCCTTATGCTTTAAAGAAAAAACAAACAAAAAAAATACTAAAATCTGAGCACTGTTTTTCTCACTCTCTCATGCAAAACATGAAAAAAAAATGGAGATCCAAGACCTGGAAGTGCTTGACTGCTCAAGTGCAACACCATACACTGGGAGCCACGGCTGCTGAGCTTCAGAAGCAGGAACAGCAAACACAGGCATTGCCAGCTCCCTCCTTGGCTCCCTGCACAGTATTACCTCACAGAAGTCAGACTCGGATTCATCTTCCCACTCCATAAATTTGGGATAATAATATTTGCTTATCTCCCAAAGCAATTGCAAAGCTACATTTAGAAACTACAGTGGCTTAGGACAAGAGAGAAATTAATTCCCTCTTATGCCCTAGGTTTACATGGTTTGCCATCCACAAAGCATACGCCCTGTGTCTGATAATTAAGGTAAAAGTATAACGAGCAGCTGCATAACACCTTAATCACCACTCATCTCGTAGGTCGAAATGTGAAGGAAGAGCAGCCAGACCCACCTCAACACCTACACACGAGGCCAAGAGCTAAGCTCACAGCCTTAGTCCTCACATCTTCCACTGCTGGGGACTCGATCCCTTGCCACATGCAACTCCATACACCGCAGACAACCTCCACCACCTCTCTCACACCGTTTTCGTCCTCGGAAATTAAAAGTTACGTTCACTGAGCAACGAGGAGCCATGCCTATAAAAGGGCTCGGCGTGAGGCGTTCACCCTCGATACCAGCTCAACCAGTTTGCTGCCCGGGTTGGCCGACCAGCACAGGCAGGCCCAGACATCGCTGAAAATGAGGTTTATAAATCGCTCGCTCCCAGCTCTCCACTCCGGGGCAAACCCAAGCAGCCGCGCGCCCCGCGGCACCGCCGGCGGTGGGGGAAATCGCGGCGGCACACACGGCTGCCGGGCGAGCCCAACCCGCCACACAAAAGCTACCTCATGGCAAGTACCTCTCGCACCACTGAGCCGACACCGGGGGAAGGGGCACGCCTGGGGCCTCGGGCCAGACCTTCTGCGCCCCCCGCAGAGCCACCATCCGCCGGCTGCCCGCTGCTCCGGCACTCCCGCGACTCCACCCGAGGAAAACCCGCCTCATACCCCCGAGGGGCCGGGGCCGGCCCCCCTCCGCGCCCCACGGTGACCCTGTGCCCAGCCCGAGATGGCGGCCGGACCCTTCCGCCGCCGCCCGCCCAGCGCCGTGCCGGCCAGCACCTGCCTGGCGTGCGGAGGAGAGACCCTCGCCGGCTCTGTCAGCTCCGGCCCGAAGAGGGAAGGGACGGGACAGCGCAGGGGACAGCTGAGGGAGGAAAGAAGGGAGAGAGGCGGGCGGACGAACCACCGCCCTCCGGCACCTTGCGGGGCCACAGACTTATGCCCTTACCTGTCGCCCGCGGGTAGCTGCGCGCAGCCCCCGGCTCCGCCATCTTCCTCAGCCGGTGGCCACCACCACCGCCTCCTGCTGCCGCCGCTCCGGTCCGCGGCGCCCAGTGGCCGCCGCACAGGCGCACTGCCCACCCCGCGGCACCTGACACGGCGCGGCAAGCGAGCGGGGAGGAGCGGGACGAGGGCCGGGCACGGTAGCCGACGACAGGCTGATGGCACTCGGCGGCGGCTTCTTACGCGGTGCTGCCTGCGCTGGGTGGGAGCGGCTCCCGCACCGCCAGGTGCTGCCGCTGCCCCGCCCCGCCGGTCGTTACTCGGTGGAGCCGAGCTTCACGCCGGTCCCTGCAGCACCTTGGCCGGCGGAACGGAGGGAGCCGGGTTTGGCTGCGGGGACCGCCGGGGTGTCAACTCGTGTCGGAAGGCTGTGCCCCTTAGGTGGGGGCAGCGCGGCCGAAGCCGTGCGTTAGTGACTAGGCACATTTAATTGGTTTATCTCGGAGAGCCAAGACACATGCCCCCGGCTTCCTTGGAGGTCCTGCCGATTTTTCCAGATTTTTCCATTCAGGAGGCTGTGTGTGCTGTTTGCAGCTGTGTGCCACCTGGGATAGAGGGATGGCACTGGAGAAAGGCAGGAGCATGCCTTCCTGGTCCAGCTGCTGCTAGAGGGTCCATCCCAAGCGGGCACAGGCCTAAGGATGGCCTTCGGGCTGGGCTTGGCTGCCATTTTGCACTCAGTTTTATAAGAAGACAAATAAAGAAACATACGCTTTTTTACTATTGAGCGTTTGTATGCTAGCAATCAAAAAAAAAAAAAAACAACTTACAAAAAACCACTGAGAAGTTGAACACACAACTTGCCTATTTGTTGTCCTTCCGCCTTCCAGTTTCTGCTGCGTCTTGGCCATGTGGGAACAGTTGCAGTGCCTCAGGGACACACACGGGGACCTTGGGCATGGGGCAGCTCCTGCTTCACTGTCTTGAGGCATCACCAGAACTTGTCCTAGGTGCTAAACACCTTCTTGCCTCCTCTGCAATGCCGGTTTACCAAAATTGAAATTTAAGACATATTTAATGCTCCCACTTTCCATTCTTAATCCTTCTGTTATTTTTGTCTAGCAATTATAGCATTTTTTTGCCTGAAAATAGAGACCATGGTCAATATAAGGGGGTAGAGGAAAAAAGTATTTTCTGCTCAGGTTTTTTTGGAAAGCATTTTCTTTGGTATGCCCAGATAAGAAGAACATGAGGGAGTCCAGGGGAGGGCCCCAAAGATGATCAGAGGGCTGGAGCATGTCTCCTATGAAGGCAGGCTGAGAGAGTTGAGATTGTTCAGCCTGGAGAAGAGAAGGCTCTGGGGAGACCTTAGAGCAGCTTCCAGTACGTGAAGGGGGCCACAAGGAATCTGGAGAGGGGCTGTTTAGGAGGGCCTGTAGTGATCGAACAAGGGCGAATGGCTTTAAACTAGAAGAGAATAGGTTTGGATTTCGAAGAAATTCTTCCCTGTGGGGGTTGTGAGGCCCTGGCACAGGTTGCCCAGAGAAGCTGTGGATGCCCCACCCCTGGCAGTGTTCAAGGCCAGGTTGATGGGCCTTTGAGCAACCTGGTCCAGTGGCAGGTGTCCCTGGCCATGGCAGGGGGCTTGGAACTGGATGATCTTAAAGTCCTTTCCAACCCAAACCATTCTATGATTCTGTGATTTTATAATGTGTCTCCCAGTAAATTGCTATTTTTTATTAAGTGCAAATTATTCCACTGGGGCAGTGGTCAACAATTCATCTTCCATCTATACATTCAAGTGGTGTCCTCATGTTGGGGTTCACACATCCCAATAAAAGTTTAACTAGACATACTTAGTTTTTCTTGGTATATATAGTAACAGTTATTCCTAACCTTGCTTTAGCATTGAAAGACTTCATTTTCATTGTTTATAACTGTGGCACTTGTAAAAGTGTCAACTGACATTTAAATGCCAGCTGTTTCTCAGGCTAAACTTCTGTCAAGGGCCTTCACTTAAAATTATTCTACCTGCATAAAGATGAAATTGTACTGCTTTGCTCATGTTACGGAAGAAGAATCCTACCTGTCTTACTGTAACTGTACCTCATGATTTCCAGGGGTTCCTTTGGCAACAAAACCAAAAGAAGGATGACTCCCCTCTAATCTTAATTGATCTCCAGCCTCTTGGTGCCTCACAAACATGCAGGAAAGAACAGCTGGTTTCAGTGCAAGTAACATGGTCTTAGTGCTGAGGGAACAGGAACAGAGAAGATGAGATTCCAGGACTGGGAATTAGGAAAGCAGGGAATGGATGTGAGGATACTAAGGAACAGGAAAAGATGGAGGAGTATAGCCAGAAGCTGGAGAAGGAAGTATGAGGGTCTCAGCAAGGAGGATATTTGGGCAGGAGGCAGTGGTTGGGTTGAGAAAGACTAATAGGACCACAGGAGAACCTGCCTCAGGGAATGTGAGCCTACTAGTGCTGGCTCTCAAGTCGTCGTGAGCCCTGTGAGCACAGCGTGTCACATGGAGAAATAAGCAGTCTCCTACGACTGTAATCTCCTTTGATAGCTGGCTGTCAGCCTCATCGGTATTCAGCCTGGTAGTCACGCAGTGAAAAAGACTTTAAAGGAAACATAAGAAAACTATATAGAAAACATTAAAGCTCCAAAGACAAAACCTTCCCTGGAATATTGTAGGTAGTATGTGATATGAGTCAGTTTTTAAATTACCTTTGCAGTGTGTTTTTTTCCACAAGGCTCCTGCTCAATGCAAAGGATGTTTTTAATTAATGTACAGTTCTTCAGTGTTTCTCCTCATTTTCATCATGTAAAGTGGAACCTTTCATGTCATATTCACTGTATATTCTTCAAACCCTGCCTTGAAGGCAGGTTAATTAATTTCCATGGTGTCTTTACTGCGGTACTCTTACAACTCTTTCAAGCATTATAAATTTAACTTTATAACAGCCTTCTAAGTTGAAGTAGTACTATTATATTTTACACACAGGGAAGAACTAACATAAGGTATTGTATCTGGAGTTGTTTGTAATTGTTTGTTAATTCTTTTACATTGTGGAGCTTGGCAAATTGTTTTAAAGCAGGGAATACTGGATTTAATACAGCTTGCACCTACCAGCATCTAAGAAACAAGACCATAACTGTTCTTGTTCAGGTTAGACTTTAAATACTTTAAGGGTCTTTAAGCACTAGGTGTAGTGGGTCACTTACAGTCTACAAAGCTTTGGTATGCACTTACACCTGTGTAAGTGCATAGTAGCTCCAGGAGTCGGGAACTAGTTTCAGACATACCTGTGTACCCTTCTTTATGATAGATAGAGGAACTCTGGGGAATATTTTAATCTTCAATGTTTAAAAAGGAAGTTATGAACTGTTTGATTGTGCCCATACTTCACAGAACAAAATTATCTTCTTGACCATAGTAGCTAAAGGAGCTTTTCCAGCGGTGATGGGACTACAGCCAGTGCCTGCATGCTCAGTGTTGGAGATGTCACCATGTCCTTCTACAACTCTCTACCCCCGCCTTGCTCTACTGTCCCTTCATATCATGCTAAAGGAAACCGTCCTAGAGGCAGCATGTCACCAGGAGCAATGTGAGGCTCCACTTTCAGTGGTAAGGGAAGGAACACATAACCTGACAGCCCTACAGCCTTGGGGAGCTGAGGCATGGGTCTGGGAAGTTTCTTCTTACCCCCAGGACCAGCAGCATGAATTATCACAGCGCTGCCTGTGAGGACAGGTCGATGGGAAGGTAGAGGCTGGCTGTGCGCTGGGCTGCAGCCAGCCTCTTATCATCAGCTGTCTGGCATGAATTGTAAGGCAATACAGGAATTCTCCCAAGCACAACTTCATCTCCTAAACACAATGTCACACAGAGCCCTCTGATTGGGAAGGTCTTTTATTGAAGATACTTAGGTTATTCTGCTTTCTTCATCTGATGCCTAGTTTGTCCTTCTGTGAATGGAACTCTGATAATATTTGTTCCAGATTCTTGTACTTTAAAGCATTTTTCTTTCATAGTGTGTTGTGCACTGTTAAAATCAATACTACTTTGGTTTCTTTTGTGGAAAACAGTTTTCTTCTCTTACCATGCATTTTCTGCAGGTACTGTATTTAAACAGGTTTGTGCAAATATTCATACATGAGCTACAGTAGCTGTTGATTCACCTAAGTCTGGGAAAATCTCATGTGAATCTGCAGAGAGATGAAGTCAGTTAAGGATGCAGACAGAAGGAAGCTGGAGGGACTCTTAGTTTTGCCACCTTATAGACATTAAAATAAAAGTCGGCAAAAGTGTACAATTATTTTGAAAATCTTGGCTTCTTTTTTCAGTGTTTTTGTATCTTGTGGTTTTACCTATGTGACCAAAGCCTATCCCTAGAAATCTATCCCTAGAGATGCTTCTGAGGGAGACAGAACGGTGAGCCCAGAGCAAAGTGGCCCAATCTGTGATGATCCACAGTTTCAGCTCTATTTTGTCATTTTGAATCAACAGCCAGCAAGTTGAGAACCCAAAAAAGTGAGGCAAACGAAATGGGTGCCTGTGGTGTTTCAGTTAAAGTGATTGGCCCAGTGTCACATAACCACTGCATGTCAAAGATGGGAAATCCATTTCTCCCAAGCGATATTTATCTTCTTTAAGTTCAAAATCAACCTTCCTGGAACCTTAAAACTCCTAGAAGTCCAGTGACTTGTAACTTATGAATGAAATTGAGTTATTGAAATTGAGTGCTTGCAGTGCTGTATTTTTACAGACAATAAACATTTGTCTGAAGAGAAATACTCCTCTTCATCAGGTAACTTTGTGTCTGAGAAAAACAACATGACTCAGAAGTTAAAAAGAGTGTTTTAACACATATATCAGAAACGGAAAAAAAGGTTGTGGGTATGACTAATTATAGTTATTCCTGACTGTTGAAATATTAACTCATCACCTTAAGCATTCTTCTAAAATAGATCATAAATCATAATCATACTTAGAGAGCTATTGAGAAACTAGATTTGCAGATGGCAGAAATGCTCATGGACTAGTTGGCTGATAAAAAATCTTCTTCATGAGGGATCAGTCTTACACAAAAAGTTCATGGGCACTGAGTCAATAAACTGAGGCACAGTATGATAACTGAGAATATAAAATGTGTTATCACAGCCAGATATCAACAGCAAAACGGTGCCGTTTCAAAACCACAATTTTGAAATCAAAAGTCATGATTG